GCGCGAACTGACAAGCAATCTTCATACGTCATACGGTGGACGATTGGAAGTTATACAACGAAAATACCACCGATCAGCATCGAAAGGGCATATGGGCATAGACATCCAAAAGAATCACGACAAGAGCCCATCTCAAATCGATCGTCACCACCCCCTATAGGGAGTATCATCATGAGAAAACAGGTGCCTGACACATACGCTCAAAGAAAATATTCCACTTTGGTGACCGATCGCGACGAACCTCTTCCCTACATATACTCACCGGACAGCGGTCGGCATTGATAGATAGGTGTCGACGGACGCCGAAATGGCTGGGATGCACGGAATTGTATGAGTTTGGTAAAGTGAGCGACGACACATAATGGCGGAAACTGAGGTCGACGATGATAGAACGCGTACTTTAAAGATTAAATGATGAATATGAAGGTCAATGGACGGGGGTATTCACCGGAAGTGCGCAGCCCCGGCCGGAGTCGCGCGCACCACCCCCGGACCTGCGCGCACCCGCCCCGAGGTATAGGCACCCCCGGGGGTGATGGCCCCTACGTTATAGGCACTCGCCCCCTAAGTTATAGGGGCCGGAGGTGCGCACCACCGCCCGGACCTGCGCGCACCCGCCCCGAGGTATAGGCACCCCCGGGGGTGACGGCCCCTATGTTATAGGCACTCGCCCCCTAAGTTATAGGGGCCGGAGGTGCGCACCACCGCCCGGAGTCGCGCGCACCTGCCCCCAGTATAGGCGTCCGTCTGACGACCTTCAAGGCCTGACAAAGTCCACCACCAAAGGCAAATAACAGCAGCTGGCAGTTTAAACAAAGTAAAAATACAACTTGTAGAGACCAGGCGCAATGGAAAAAGAGATTCCACTCTACACATATTCCTCCACTCAGTCAAAAGCATTGTATTGGTATTTTTGACATTCTCTGTTGATCTTATCGAGCTCCCGCTCCTTGCATGAATGGGCCGGAGGTGCGCACTTCCGCCCATGTAGGTTGAACCAAAAACCCTTTCCATACAGTTTCAACAACTGCAGCACATTCAAACTGTGTAAGGCTCTCCTCAGAAACACTCCTCAACACTTCAACATTCTGTCTTTCTTTGTATAAGCTGAGAACGGTTGGTCAATCCTCTTTCTTTCACAAGATTCTTTGTTGATTTCCTTGGTGCTGCATGTCTCCTGCCTGCGGTTTGTTCAATATTTCTTGAACCAGAGCAGCATAGTATTTGGTGTAGCTGCTTTGATCGCAAATCTGCCTTGCTCTTTAAGCGGTTACTAAGTCAGCATGACCGAATGTACTTTGAAAATTATCCACTTTGGTGGATTATTCCTATATTAAAATCTCCTTCAAGCTCCCGGCGCTGCCGAAAAACATATTGATGCGCAGGGTGTTTACAACAAATCGAGCCAAGGATCGGCTGACGAATCCACCAACAA